CTTGACGAAGTTATTTCATGGGCCCAAACATTAACTGACATTACGGATCAGCACATTTCTATTATTAAGCACGCAAGAAAATCCTTTCTTTTTCATGATGAGAAAACATGGGTAAAAAGAAACAACCAATCTCTATTCGACGTAGCAATGGGAAGTTACGATGGAGCCGAGGTATGTGAGCTGGTCGGACTATTCATTTTGAATAAGCTTTCTGAGAAATTTGGAAAGAATAACATTGGACTATATCGAGATGATGGCTTAATGTTGTTGAGTGGAACCGGAAAAAGATTGGCAGACAACGCTCGAAAGTCTCTACATTGCATATTTCACAAACTTGGCTTTAAGATCACTGCCGAAGTTAACAACCAAATTGTCAATTACTTAGACGTAACCTTCAATCTGCAAACAGGGAGATATTCAGCTTACAGAAAACCCAATAACAACCCTCTCTATATAGACAGCCGGTCAAATCACCCCCCTTCTATCATCAAGCATGTCCCAGAATCCATATAAGCAAAAGAATATCTAGCTTATCCTCTGATCAATTATCTTTTGATTCATCAGCAGCATTGTACGAATACGCACTTCACCGCAGAAATTACAACGTCAAACTCCAATATTCAACCAATAGTACCGGCGACACCCCAACACCAAACAGAAAAAAACGACAAAGAAAGGTGATATGGTTTAACCCGCCCTTCAGTAAGAACGTAAAAACCAACGTGGCACATAGCTTCTTACAACTCATCGACAAGCACGTCACTTCCCACATTCAACTCGACTCCATAAAATCTTTAACCGGAACACTGTGAAAGTGAGTTATTCCTGCATGACCATCTACTGGCAAGAAAGAACAAATCATTCGATGGATGTAATTGCCGCAACAAGGACGAATGCCCTCTCGATGGTAATTGTCTTACGAAAAGCATCGTATATAAGGCTGAGATTACAACAACAGACGTCGGTGAAACGAAAGAGTATATTGGTATGACAGCAGGGAGGCTTAAAGCAAGATACGCCAACCACAAGAAATCCATCAACTCACCTCGCTATTCAAACGAAACCGAACTTTCTAAGTACGCATGGAAGCTAAAACAAAGTAACCGACCGTATACTATAAAGTGGTCGGTTTTGTCGCATGCATCAGCCTATACAGCAGGTGCAAATTCTTGCAACCTTTGCTAAGAGGAGAAGTTTTATACAATTAAATCTCACAAAGATAGGACGTTGAACAAACGAACAGAACTATTTTCAAAGTGCCGCCACAGAAACTCATTTAGCGCGCGGAATTTTAAACGCACGCGCGCATGATGCAATCGCGTCAGCGGACCGTTGAATGAATGGCGCAAGCAAACTATTTAGAGCAGTATCGCCTGAAAATCGCTTTGAAAGCGTGAAACACTGTGTAGCGATTAATAAAATTTTAAGATTATAATTAGTATATTTTGCTCTATCAATTAAATTTGTTATTGAGCACTCTTTTTGTACAACGGACAACGATTTATTATTGTATTATATATATATATATATATATATATATATATATATATATATATATATATATATATATATATATATATATATATATATATATATATATATATATATATATATATATATATTAATATATATATATATATATATATATATATATATATATATATATATATATATATATATATATATATATATATATATATATATATATATATATATATATATATATATATATATATATATATATATATATATATATATATATATATATACCTATATCACCTGGCAAAATAAAGCCATTTATGTAAGTTAATCACCAACACATATTTTTAACGTTTCGACTTTATTGTCTTCATCAAAGTAAAATCGTTTACACAAACCCCTACTTTTATACCCTACTAGATGAGCATTATTATTCATACGCCTCAGAATCCTGTTCAATGTTCAACCCCAAGGGGTACATTGTCATAAGTCTTCCAATACGTTTCCCTAATTGTTGGTTCTGCTGGATTGGTTTTGTCAATTATGACTATATCACAATCATCTCGACAATCATTTATTAAGCCATTATGTTTTTCGCCTAAGAAATGTGAATGAAAAAAGGCTTGTGTATGAGCTTTGTTGGACATTGCTTTCCTTTGGCAAGATTTATAATTATTCCATCGAAAGCGGAATTTATCCGTCGTCTGACCAACATATTGCTTCTTACACACATTACATGTCAAAGATAAACCACACACTTTGAGTCACAGTTTAAATGGTGGTTCACCTTGTATTGTTTACCATCTGCTGTGCACCTAAAAGTGTCGGTGTCGTGAACATTTTGACATGTCAAGCACTTGGCTTTATTACATTTCTTACACCTTTCTCTAATTCTCTCTTACTAATGGTAGTACCTTAGCTCTAACTAAGTAACTTCTTAAATTACGGCTTGTTCTAAATGCCGTACAGTAAATGGTTCAAGGGTAAATACTTTACAAGCTTCAGTGTCTAAGTACAAAATATGCAAATTTTTCTTAATTTCTAATCCAAATTGCTTCAACAAAGGATGGAAAGCTATAGCTTTCTAATAGCGAAACTTTACCTATTTCTTTTAATTTATCAAAAAAATGTCCTGTATCTCGAATGTAGACTTCCCTGCTTTCATAATAGGTTTAAGATGGTAATCTAAGAATTCAGCGGCGCTCTCTGTAGGAGTCCCACAATTAGAGATAACAGGACGCCCTGGTACATTTCGAAGCCTTTTATGAATCTTAGGTATAAGATATAGCCCAGTGCACACGAATTTTTAAAATCGTACGAGAAATACTTAAATATAGCTTAAGTTTTTGGTTTACGATACACAAACAGTGCTCTATACCATATAGATAGAGCGCAACAGTCTGTTTCATCCGTATAGGAATCATCAGGTTTAGGAATGCAGCCAGGGCCCCCCAGAGGAGGGGGAGGGGACATGCAATTTGTCCCGGGCTCCCAGTAAAAGGTGACCCCAACATTTGCAAAAAGGCGCAACAAAAGGTGTAATTAAAAAAAAATATTTGGAACGTTTTTTATATGAATAATGGTATGAGACTTTTAGACCTTAATTTTACTGGTATTCGGGTCCGAAAAATTGTTTTTACAGGTATTTTTCCGGAAAATTTTTTTTGAACCTTAATTTTACTCAGGTGTTTGTCCGGAAAAAAGCCTTATGAACCTTTTCCTGGAAATGTTCGGAAAAGTTTTTTCAAAATATTGAAAGAAACGTCAGTTGTCGCATTTTTCACAGCTGATAACTTTGAGTTAAAGGTAGGCCATAATCGTCTGATGCCAACTATATTCTCCATGCCGCCGCGCAGACAGGCACAAGTTTCAACACGGAAGGAAGAACCACTCAGAAGCTGATTCCCGCTGATATAGAGGTTACTGTAGACTTCAACAAATGAGACAACTGAAGTTCAGGAAGAGGAGACACATACACAAAATGTACAACAGGTGTGCGAACTCGAAGTGGGCGGTGAATGCCACAAGTCAGACTTACTTGGGGGGGGGGGATACGAACTCATGGTCTAGCGGGGTTTTCCGCGGGCATGCGCAAGAGAGCGAGCGTGAAAAGACTCGTGTTGTGTCGCATTGTCAGTATTATTAAGGACAATATAAATACATTTTATAATTTTACAATTATATAATTATAAACTAATATAATTATAGTCCCCACATACATCCATAAAGCCCCGATCGATGTGAATGATAGTTTCATGGCTACTGAAGCTGTGGCAATGTATTTTACACCAGGAGTATGGCCGGGTTTTCCGAGTTTGAGACTATGTACAGAGCAATATCCTCGAACAACGGAAATCACACCACCAATTAAATACGGTTCGGAAAGAATCCGCCACTTCATTTAAATATGCAAACCATAGACGTATCTTATCATCCATTCAGTAAATTCGGGAAAATATGTACTTGCAAATTCGTGAAGCTTCAAGGAATTCGGAAAATATATTTGCCTCTCGCGATGTAACGAGGCCTCGACGACTGCACGTGAAGCATCATCAGAGGAGAGCCGAGTCCAGCCGCTGCTACCGGCCACGGGATTACCGCTGCTCACTTTGAGTGCATTGTCAGTCGCGATTGCTCCCAGTACACTTAAAGTTATCGACATTTCATTTTTCTCAAGTGCCAAATCTTGCCTTAGTGCGTTAAAGAATCCATGTAGAGCATGTTTGTTTGAGCAATACAAGGCGAAATATGGATACGTTATCACGCCTAGCCCAGAGGAAATAACCAAAAGACGGCCCCGCGATGCTTGAAGACTGGGTAAGAATAAAGTTGTGAGGTGTATGTAACTCAGAACGTTGGTATCAAATGCTTTTGCTACGTCATTGAAACTTCTGTCCGCCTGCCAGCGTTTTATTTCATACAAAACGTGGTTTAAAACCAGCACATCGATATTTTGAAAGCGTTTCAATGATTCCTGAAACGATATATATATATATATATATTTTAGAGATTATACTGAATTTGGTAATTATACCTGCAATAAAACTTGCAATAAATTAGACGGTGGCTTGAAGATATTACTTTTATCTTCTCGTGTTTTCACCACTCGAAGATAAAGATCATATCTTCGCGCCGCCGTGTAATATCCTCTATATATTAACAAACAAGAAGCGTAAATTAAAAAGGCCTGGAGCGGAAAAATAGGGAGGCTTGTGGATAATGTAGGAAGTAATTTTAATTTACGCTTTTTGTTTATTAGTATCATATCGTATTTCAAAACTATTTCCTTGTGTTTTCTACGTTCCTGATAAATCTTTTATATAGTTAATAACGTTGCAGAACTACACAGTTGCCTGCGGAGGAGGCTAGGTCTCCGAAACGGCAGGCATTTCCTCCCGCGTTCTGAATAAGATTTCAACGACTAGTACTACCTCAACGATTGAAACGAATCCCAACCACCCACATGCAACAGCTGTTTCCAGCCATGACCGGAATTCTGACTTCATCCATTATACTTCATATTGTTCCGTATATATTTTTATTTATCCCGTAAGATACGTGCAGACGGAACAGGCGTATACTTGTAGACGGAACAGGCGTATACGAATCCGGACACGTGTGAATTCGGGCCTAAGTATAACCGGAAATCAGTGAGTATGGGTGTTTCTTCTTTTGGAAAACTGCATGCATACTCAGTGCTCATGCTTTGCATGCATTAGATGATCGTTATTTAATCGCGTTTATTAAAACGATAACCTGATATTTTAACACTGCAATTTTATATCAAGACATCAAGGAAGGAAGCCAGTAAACGAAAATTATTTTGCAAAGTATGGATCAAGTAAGAACTAAACGTTTTACAAAAAATCAAAACTGTCTTTGTATGAGTCCTATATACAAACACATTGATGCTAAAGTAAAAGTCTGATCAATGTATACTACAATCGAGGAAGTTAATTAATTCGACTAATGAATTCCAACTTTTACCCGCTTCCCCTTAGTGATCTTTTTTATTCTCATTCCAATATTCAACAATTGAATGTTACTTTAAATAATGAATTGTCGAAATTTGACTGTTGGATGAAGGCAAACAAACTCTCTGTTAATATAAAGAAAACCAATTACGTGGTTTTCAAATCAAAACAGAAAAGAATCAATACTGATCTGTCACTTTCCTTTAACGGTCAAGCACTTAAAAAAGTACATGTCGTTAAATTCTTAGGAGTATTTATTGATGAAAATTTATCATGGACAGAACATATTACTTATATTTGTAAAAAGATCTCTAAATCAGTGGGAATAATTTACCGATCTCGCTTTTGTTTGTCGACCAATACAAAGTTAATGTTGTATTATACTATAATCTATCCCTATCTAACTTATTGTAATATTGCCTGGGGTTCTACCTATCCCTCTAACTTGAATAAGCTACTTCTGATGCAAAAACGCGCTGTGCGGGCAATTACAAACGCATGTTATCGTGCACATACAAAACCGCTCTTTTCGCAGTTAAAATTACTGGATATTTACCAAATAAATACATTTTATACCGCTAAATTCATGTTTCTATATCATAACCATTTATTACCATCTTTATTTCACATGATATTTACTACAGGTAGTCAAATGCATATATATAACACAAGACATGCGGCTGATTATCGAACTCACGCTTGCAGAACAAATATTAAACAGTTCACTATTCTATTTCAAGGACCAAAACTGTGGAATTCATTACCAAAAAATATTATTAACCAAGTTACTCCTCGTTGTTTCAGGAACAGAATGCTAGAGCATCTATTATATTAATTATCTCAGCTACTACTAAGTTAAGCACATCTATATTTTAGTCCTATATCCAATAATCCAATAATAATATTACTTATTATATAATCTTCTTGCATCAAGAGGTGGCCTCCCTTGTACAAGCCTGGTGGTTTCTGGAGGTCTCCTCGCCATCCGATACAATTAATTATAGTTCCTTCCTTCTTGTACCTATTTTTTTTTTTGTTTCTAATTGTATGTATGTATATATATATGGCAAATAAATATTGTTGTTGTTATTGTTATTGTGACCTTAAGCATATATGTACAGTGACCTTAAGCATGTATCACAGTGACCTTAAACATGTATAGGGTGGGAACGCGACGGCAATGGCAAACAAATTCGTTGAACCAAATGATTGCAGAAGAAAACTTGTCGTCTATTGTCCTTCGTAGAAAAAATAATACAGTTTAAGAATTGAGGTTAACACAGAGTTATTGGTTAATGATTGAGAAAAGTTCTAGGACCCAATTGAAAGTAGCAATTGTAATTCCACCGTTGAAAGGTAGCCCATATATTAATTCTTTCCGATTACATGGCGCTCAAATGAAACTCGGCGCTCAAATGAAACTCGGCGCTCAAATAAAAACGGCTGATAATTTTCGAGTTAATCCCGAGTTGATCAGCAGAACAGGGCTATTTATAATTTTATATGTTACTTACTTTGAGAAGATGTTCATTGCCAATCCTACCTCCCTGTAAGTCAGCAGTTATGTAACTAGCCGAGGCTGCCCCAAGACGCGAACAATTTTCCACAACACTTTTCAAAGCCCATTCCCTTCGAGCCACGACCAGAACGTTGGCACCTTGCTTGCAAAATCGATACGCTATTTGCTCACCAATACCTGTGGACCCACCACAGATTACGACATTTTTACCACGAAACGTTTCGCTAATGCTAGCACGTTTTGTGAACCAACGCCAAGCTAGCACGGCTACAACGAACGATGCGAATTTCCAACCTGGTTTAAGCATAGTTGATTATCCAAACACGAGCAAATTAGTGTAATGATAGTAAAATCCTGGGATGGGCCCTTTAAATATCTTATAATTATGCTGATATTTTTGCGGAGGCGTGCGCGTCAGTCACGTTTACACAGCGTGTTTACAGGATGTAATAAGCTCACAGCAGAATTTGCCACATTTGCCAAATTTGTGGTCATTATTAATGCAATTATAAGGCTGATTCAACATTAACGCCCGTATTTTAAAAGCTCACTCACACTCACACTGACTCAATGAGTGGCGGTTCAATCCGAGCTTCTCTTGAGTGTCAATGCTGTTTTTGAATAGCTGGAGGGTTAGTAGTCACATAGTAAGGTACGACACTAACCCTCCAGCTATTCAACAACAGCAATGACACTCGAGAGAAGCTCAGATTGAACTTCCACTCATTGAGTGCGAGTGTGAATGAGCTTTTAGAACACGGGCGTAAAACGGACGTCAGTCGTCGAGTGTCCCTATATGTCGTGTGTCGTGTGTCGTGGGTTAAAAGTCGTGTGTCGTGGGTAAAGTCGTGGGTAAAGTCGTGGGTAAAGTCGTGGGTCATAAAATGTGCTAAAAACGCATTTTTTCACGAAGATATTATTTT